GGTGGCCCGGGCGGTCCTGGGCGGCCTCTCGCAGACGGACTCCCGTGACTACAGCTTGGTGACGGCCAGCTGTGGCTTTGGCAAAGATTTCCGCAAGGGCATCCTCAAGAAAGGCATGTGCTACGGGGATGACGCCTGCTTCGTGGCCCGGCACCGGACGGCAGATGTGCTGGGTGAGTGTTGGCTGGGCCTTGCTTGGGGGTGCCCGGGGGGCTCTGGTTGGTGTCCTGACCTCCCCCTCCCCGAGACGCGCATGGCGAGGCGGCTCAGTCCTCGGCTGCTGCAGACAAAGGAGCCGGTTACGCCTGTGAATGTCTGCCTGAGTTCTCTTTATGTGGTTTCAAAAGGAAGCCCTCGTGCTCTTTGCTGCAGCTCCATACCCTCCTCGCTCAGCCTGGCGTTGGGACGGGGTGTTGTGGGTTGTGGGGCCCAGACCTGGCAGTTCACCTGTAGGTACCTGTAGGGCCTAGTGTCTCCAAAATCCAGAGAAACGTCTTGGAGTGCATTTCACTTTAAAACACAAGCGGGCCCCATGTATATATTGCATTTCTGCATACAGGATCATTGGAACGGACACTTCCTGATTTTAGTGCGTGCTGTGTCCTTGTCAAGTGAAAGGCAAAGTGACATTGAGACTGGTTTCAAATGTCAAACTTCAATTTCAGTATTTACTCTGTCCCGATTAGACTCATGGGTTTGGATTCGTGTGCAGAATGAATCTAAAAAGGGTTCAAATTTTAGAAGCAGTGAATAATTGTATATAATCAATAGAATCTTCAGTTTATGAGCAACATTGCTTTGACAGTGCTTGACCTTTCTCCTGTGTAGTCAAGGTTGAATTTGCCTGACACTCTGCAGAAGTTAGTTTCTGAGCAACTAACAGAAGTACATTTCCATCAGCACTGATTTTTTTTTTTTTTTCAAAAGAAAAGCTTCCTCCCCTTGCCCACATTTTTCTCAAATTTGAAACTGGTGGGATTGCTCTGCACTGTCTCATGGTGTGAGGGTGCTTGGTGATAATGCACAATTTGGGGCTGTCATTGTAACTTGGTTGCCATTTAATATAGCTGAGAGTTTTTTTCAGGAAGCTCTGAGTTGGTGCTAGGTAACAGTCGTGCTGATTATTCTCAAGGGAGCTGCTGCTGTAAGTGTGATGCTGCAGCTTTCAGGGAGGTGTAGAAAACCGGTCAGTGCATTTTAGATATCCTGCATCTTCCTTGTTGTTTCTGTTCCAGATAAACTTTTTTGTGTTAGAATTATCTACTGGACAACCTTACTTTAGCATGTGACTGAGGTTGGCTGCCTTTAAAGTTCATCCTAGGCCAGCACTGATAAATAACTGAGCTATTGGTATTTGCCTGTAGGAGAAATGCAGAATCTGCTTTACTCAGGTGGTCTCTTTGCATGGGGAAGCAGGTGGATTTAAGCCCGTTTGATGACGATCAGGGGTTTTTGGCCATATTTGGTAATTACCAGATGGGGACCAACAGCTTGTCTTGTCTTCCTGCTGGAATCAACAGAGAAATGCATTTCTGAGTTGGTCTTTGCATTCATTTTCATGGCAACTTGAAAACAAACAGAATTGTAACTTAAAATGGCAAGGAAGGATTCAGACCAGGATGTCTTTAAGTACCAAGAAGAAATTAATTTAGATAGAAAAGCTGTGGTTTTTTTCCCCTGCAAAGCTATTTTCATGTTAGTTCTTTATTGCTTTTCTAATACACATACCAAACAGCCAAGATCACTATACATTCTGCAAACAGTAATGCTCAGGAGTAGTTTTGGTTCAATCTAATGTGATTTTTTTCTTAATCTGTAGTTCTTTAGTTTACAGATATAGTAGTTTGCTCCTTGATTCTGCTGCTGCAGCCATCTCTTTGCTCTCCCTTGCTCCACCAGCTCTTCTACACTGCTGCAGAGTTTCAGCACCAGTGTTTTCTGCCCTCAACTCCTCTTAGTCTCATCACAGATCTGAGGTTCCATGACTGTTTTTTAAAGACTCAAAATAAGTTTTGTTCTAACTCAATACCTGCCTAACTCTGCATCTCAGTAAAACTGGCTGAGCTGAACTGTTGCTTTTCCAGCTTTTTTCATCAGTATTAGTTTACTGAAGAGGTCCTGTGGTTTTAGCCAAAGTGAACAGTAGACACAGTAAGAGTGCTTTTAGAGAGCAGTAAATCTCAAGTGTATCACTTAAAGAGTTACTCTGCCCTAGTAGTCATCAGTGACAAAGCCATGCCAGATGATTAATTTTAAATGCTTCTGTGCCAGTCTTTTCTAGAACCAATATATGGGAAGCATGTGGGATGGAGATGGGTGTGGTGGAATAGTGAAAGAGCTACTCTCAGCCGTTTGGCATTAGTGCTTGGGGATCCATTTTTTTTAGGTCAAACAAAAGTTGACTAGGAAGTGTGTTAGAAAAATGCTAAACACTTCTTTTGTTATATGCATATATACCCTGCATAGCCTCAAGGCTGAAAATATAAGTGTCTTCTGTTCCGGGCTTTATCCTTTCATAGCAATAACAACAGAAAGCTTTTAAAATTCACAGAATCTTAGAGTTTGGAAGGGATCTCAAAGGATCATCTAGTCCAACCCCCCTGCCAGAGCAGGATCACCCAGAGCACATCACACAGGAACGTGTCCAGGGGGGTTTTGAATGTCTCCAGCAAAGGAGACTCCACAACCTCTGTGGGCAGCCTGGCCCAGGGCTCTGTCACTCTCACAGTAAAGAAGTTTTTTCTGATGATTACGTGGAACCTCCTATGTTCCAATTTGCACCCACTGCCATCACTGGACACCACTGAACACAGCCTGGCTCTGTCCTCCTGACACTGCCCTGAACGTATTTGTAAACATTGATGAGGTTGCCCCTCAGTCTCCTCTCTCCAAGCTAAAGAGACCCAGCTCCCTCAGCCCTTTCTCATCAGGGAGATGTTCTACTCCGTCTGTGCTGGACTCTTTCAAGCAGTTCCCTGTCCTTGAGGGGCCCAGAACTGTAAATTCCTGTTATTTCTAACCTTCCTGTAGTTGTTAAAGGGTTGGTGGGCCCTGCTACTGGCACAGCTGAATGCTTGAGGGTTTTATCACTTGTTTTTGCTTCTGTCTGGCATGTACCTGTTAAACTTTCATTTTTTCTTCTCATCCTGAGCCCTGGGAGAAACGTTTCAAAACCAGTGTTTCCTTTGGGATCTCTCTAAAAAAAGAAAATTGCTTTACTACTAATAGTGATCTCTAGAGCTTTTATCATTCAGGCCTGTGTTACACTTGTTGCTGCTGCTTGTGCCATATTGTACCTTTCTGTATGCTCACTATCAGTGTCTTGGTTGTCCAGATCCTCAGAATATTCAGATACCTTCTTGAGACTTGGTAGACTCTTTATGCTACTTCCCATCTGAAGGCATGCCTTTCTCACTTATGAAGACAGAAATACTGCTTTTCAAAGCTGAAAAACAAAACTCTTCAGAAACTGACACCTCTGTTTTTCCTTAGTTCATAGCCAGCAGAGCACCGCTTTTAAAACTGAACTTAAACACTTTATACAACACTTATTTAACAAAACTAACCGTTGAAACGTGCTTATAACTTTGGAGATGTCTCATGTTTGTGGTTGTTTTTTCTATAGTTGTGTTCTGCTTTTTCTTGCTTATTCCTGCCTTATGAGGCTCCTGGTGTCTTTGCTAGTTTTTTATGGATTTTCCAAGCTGTTGTGTGACTCATTATTGAAACATTGCAGCAAGCAGTGTGCATCCCGTGACAGCATCACTGATACACTGCCTGTGCGGGGTACAAGTTTGGGTGTAGCCAGGGTCACTTGACTAGTTTTCCAAACTGCTTCTATCCCCCAGCAGTAGTAGGAAAAAACTGTCTAGCAGCAGGGTGCTGTTTCTCTACTGCAAAGTTAAAATCAGGCAGTTGTTTTGTCTCCTGCAAATACTTATATATATTTTTAAAAAGATTTTAATTTTGGGGGGTTGTTGTAGGGCAGCTACTTTAAACTGAGAGGAATTGCACTTTATTTGAAAGTTACATTTGTCAACAGCCTGCATAACAAGTATGCCAAGCTCTAGAGTGGTGACGCCCCTGAAATGTTGTTAGTCTCACTGCCATCAAGAAAACTACAAAATGGATTTGTAGATGAAATGTCAAGGTTGTTCTGGCAGCTATTGGGGAGGATGGGATTCTTTGATGCTTGAAGGTTGTATAAGACTATGTTAAGTGATTTATTTGTGTCATCCCTATTAAAGAGGTTGCTGCCTCATCACAAGTTACCACACTAAAGGGGGCAAGTTGCCTCCTTGCCTTTCACCCACTCTGTTGGGAGAACTTGGGACATCTTAGAGGGAGTAATCAGTGATTTGAAAAAAAATTATGTATGTGTCTTAGTTTGTACTAGACCAAACTCAATTTTCCTTTTAGCTTGGGAGCATAAGTACTGTCATTTGTGGAGAAACTGCAGATCATTAAGAAACTTTCCCATTAACAATCATATTCACTGGCCTTCTTGTCAATACAGCTAATCTAAACATCAGCAGAGCTGTTCTGTTGAACGTAAGCTCTTAGAAATGTGGTAGCTCTTCTGAGAAAGAAACTAAAATCTCTGTCACAGTTTCTGGAAGGGCATAGTGCACAAGGTACTCTGATCAGAATTTGCAATTGAACACTTGCATTAATTATAAGTGCAGTGGGCAGTTTCCCATGGATATGCAGATCTGAGCTTGAACAAAAGGCAAGTTCTGTCAGAAGTCACAGAAGGACACAAGCAAAGCTGAAGAGGGTGCAGTAGGTGAGGTGTTAATCATACCTATGTTGCAGGAAATGTTGCAAAAGTCTCCTGCTGCTTCCTTTGGCTCCTCTGCACTGTTAATATTGTGAGCCTGAGGTAGCTCAGGCTAGAGGTAATCTCAGTCCAGTTTGGCTGATGTCTGCCTGCAGCCCCTCTCCCTTTCAGCAGTTAAGTGCCAACCACCAACAGTTCAGCCACGAAAATAAGCTCTAGTGTTGCTCAACACCCTGAGAGATTAAGTAGTTAAAGCTACATAGGGAAGTTTTTACAGATCTTTCAGAAATAAATGATAGTTCAGTGTTCTCCTGTAGCTCCCAAACTCCACTGGCTTATATAAAATTGGTAAAAGATCTACCTGATAAAAACCTGTTTCAGGAACAATAGTGTATTGTAGTAGGGGAAAAGAAAGAAGGAACTGCTGCTTTTTCCTGGAAGTAGATGCACAATGTAATGTTTTTAGTTCCTTGTTTCTCCTTCAGTTTGTTCTTCAACATAATCTTTCACTTTGCCTCTTGCTTCTTGTTCCTCATTATCATTTAGCTAGTTATTCTTCCAGTACTTTTCTATTTCATGCAAGGGTAGTTTAAGGTCTGCTGTAACTTTTAAAATGCACAGCATGAATAAGCAACCTTTCTTTTTATAACTAATTATCAGTCACACACCATCTGCCTTTAGGGATTTGTATTTAACAAGGTTATTTCTTTATCAAAACCTGGTGGGGGAAGTGGACACCATTGTGATCCCATACATGCTGCTAGGAGAGTTCCTGCTGGCTTTGAGAATGCATTTTGCTTTGGATGAAGAACCTATCTAGGTGTGTGATGTACCTCATCGCTGATAAAACAAGAAATGTTATCAGTTTAGCTCAGCTTTGATATGTTGACAGATATTGGGGTGCTGTATTTCAAACATCTGTAGTGTGTCATACTGTTCTTTGTTGCCATTTCAGCCTTTCTTCCACATTTGAGGCAAAATAAATTCTTTTATCAGTGATTCATTGCTGACTCAGGTCAGGATCTCAAGAAATGTGAAGCTCAGTAGGATGCCTGGAGTGTCTTGCAGAGTTAGTTGTGGTTGCTTGCAGAAGCAGTGTCCATCTTCCAAGAGATTTTTGGGACAAAATGGTACATTAGAACACTGGGCACAGGCAGGTTAGTTTGCCAGCTAGCCAGAACTTCCACTCATGATGCTGTGTATATTAAGCAGGGTTTGATTAGTATCATGGTCTTGTTCTGAACCTGTTCAAGCCTGTTTCATTTGTATTTACTCTGAACTAGAAGTCTGGACTAGTGTGTGGTGTAGGAGTCTCAGCACCAACTTTTCCCTGGGCTTCTGCACTTAACCTTCTGTGTTGGCAGTCAAAACAACTCCACTTTTGCATTTCAACTGCTGCTTTTAGTGTATTGGAATACACTTTAACAAGTTTCAGTGCCAGTATTTTCACTTGCTCAGTTTCAGTGCTGCATTCTCATTCTTGAAACTTGAATACAACTGTCTCTCTCTTGAAGAGATCTTGATACACTGAGTCTTTATGAAATTAGAGCCAGTTTTTGGACTGACACATTCAGCGAGTATTTAATCTGGCAGTAGTATTTGTGTATTTTCCAGCAGAAGGCAATGTAGTAGAGTGTTAACTCTCAACAAATCTGAAGAGTCTCAATGATATAGTTACATACTTGAGAAGCATTTATTATTTTGAAGTAATTTATTGTGAAATTTTCAGCTGCTTTATTTACAGTGATTGTTCATCTGGCCACAGGCATTTCACTGTGTCACGTGGGCATTTGTGTAATTCCTGAATAGACTTGAAACAGGGAACATCCAAATAAATACTCTTTCTATAAAATTTTCTAATTTACTGAATAGCTTAGAAAAAGGCAAGGATTGTGGACAGTTCAACAATTCAGTACAAGTTCAGTAAAAAATACAGTACAAATTCAGCAAGTCTTCTCAGCCATGCAGTTTGTCTTAAATGTGCTGTGAGTGAGGTGGTTATTTTCAGTTAAATGGTGGATAGTGGAAGACAATATTCAATGTTTTACAGTGAAATGTAAGAAAATTAAAACCTGAGTAACCTTTTTCACTTGTGAAAACAATAGAGTGATTTTGAATATTTACAGGGTTGGGTTTTTTTGTCTGAAGTGAAAACAAAGATAATATAAATTAACAGAGCTTGGCATTGCTCCTTGCAGTGATGCTGCCAGTAGCAACACCTTTGAATTTGCCTCTGGTGTCAGAGGGGAAAACATGCTCTTATATGGAAATGAGCCCATTTTTATGAGTTGAGTTTTCAGTTCTTGCTACTTCTGGAGCTTGAAATGTCTCTCAGTTTTGCTCCTTGCTTGCTGTATGTCTAATATCACAAAGTTTTCTTGAACTTTAGTCTCATTTACATTTCACCTATTTCAGCAGCAGTTTGCTCAATCTGGTTTCAACCCACATACTCTTTCC